GCCAAAAGCTCCCTCCGCCGCCTGCCCTCCCCACTCTTGGGGCGTCCGGCCCTCTGGCCGAAGGGGGATGGGGTGAGTGGGGGAAAGGAGAAGGCAGAGGGAAGGAGGGAGGAGCAGGGCCCAGGAGAGAGAGGGCGAGGAGGACGGAGGAGGAGGAGGAGGAGGAGGAGGGCGGGAAGGGCGGAGGAGAGGAGGAGGGGGAGGAGCGAGGAGGAGGAGGAGGACAGGAGGAGGAGGAGGCGGAGGAGGCAAAGGAGGAGGGACGAGGCAAAGAGAGCAGATGGGGAGGAGGAGGAGGAGGAGGGGTGGAGCAGGAGGAGGAGCAGGAGGGAGGAGGAGGAGGCGGAGGAAGGGGGGGAGGGGGGGGGGGGGAGACGGAGGGGGAGCGGTGGAGGAGGAGGAGGAGGAGGAGGAGCAGGAAGAGGAAGTGGAGGAGGAGGAGGAGGAGGAGGAGGAGGAGGAGGGGGAAGTGGACTCGGAGGATCCTCGCCCTCTCTGGCGACCTCGGCGCCCGTCGGCTCGCTCTGGTTCCACCCGCCGCGGCGGGGCGGCCGCGGATCTGGCGAACGTCCGCCGGGCGGTGGAGGACGCGGGGTGGCGGGCAGGGGCATGCGCAGGGGGGGTATCAGGCAGTGGCCGGGCCCGCCCATGGCCCATTAGAGAATATCATGAGAACCTCTTGGTGTCTGCACGAAATGCTCTTAGAACAGTTCTGGCCGAGACCGTCGTGTTTGACCACATCGGGCTTCTGTTCTAAGAAAGTTGTTCGGGCTATTCGAGCATTTCTGGGTTCTAAGAACATGTCGTGGTAGGCCTATAGGAATTCCGGGACCGTCGGTCCCTGCTCAAGGGTATAGAGCAGGGGCGGCGAGGACCGCCCGTGGCATTCTCACAACGCCATCCCCTACAGAGGTCACGGCCCCTTCCCCAGGGCAGGCTTGTCCGCCCGAGTCGTTTTTTGTTTGGGCGGCCCGAGGCCCAGCAGGGGCCCCCGGAGGCCAAAGGCTGCAACAGGCTTGCCGTCGTGATACGCACGGGGAGGAGGAGGGAGGATGGGGAAGAAGGAAGGAAGAGGTGGAAGGAGGACGAGGGAGGAGGAGGAGGAGGAGGAGGAGGAGGAGGAAGAGGAGGAGGAGGACGAGGACGAGGAGGAGGAGGCGGAGGCAAGGAGGATGGAGGAGGAGGAGGAGGTGGAGGGTGGGAGCAGCAGCAGGAGCAAGCAGGAGCAGCAGGAGCAGCAGGAGCAGCAGGAGCAGCAGGAGCAGCAGGAGCAGCAGGAGCAGCAGGAGCAGCAGGAGCAGCAGGAGCAGCAGGAGCAGGAGCAGGAGCAGGAGCAGGAGCAGCAGGAGGGAGGAGGAGGAGGAGGCGGAGGAAGAGGACGAGGATGAGGAGGAGGAGGAGGAGGAGGAGGCGGAGGAGGAGCGCGAGGGGGTCCTAGGAGGGGGCTCGGTCTGCCGGAGTCTCGGCTCGCCGCGGGGCTCCGTTCGCCGGGGCTCGCGTCGCCGGGGCCCGTGTCGCCGGGGCGGGGCGGGTCGAGGACGAGGACGAGGAGGAGGACGAGGACAAGGACGAGGACGAGGAGGACGAGGAGGACAAGGAGGAGGAGGAGGAGGAGGAGGAGGAGGAGGAGGAGGAGAACGAGGAGGAAGAGGAGGAATTGGAGTAGTCAGCTCATGTCGCCGGGGCTCGTGTCGCCGGGGCGGGCCGGGTCGGGCGGGTCGGGCCGGGCGGGCGGACCCTCAAGGGCGGGTCGGATCGGGCGGGCGGGACATCAGAGTCAGAAGGGGGAAAAACACGCAGACACAACTAATCGTCGATCCCCCGGAAAGTGTAGGAAAATGTGGGAAGCGGGGGCAAGACGAGAATCCATAATACATTCCGAAATTTGGGGATCCTGGGATTTGTGTCTGTTTATTCAGGGCCCCATAGTCAAGCGCGCGAACCCTGACGGGCGGGTCGGGTCGAGCGGGCGGACCCTAATGGGCGGGGTGTCGGCCAGGCGGAGTTGGGCGAATCGAGTCAGGCGATTCGAGTCAGGCGATTCGAGCCTCGGGCGAATCGAGCTGGGAGAATCTTTAATCGAGCCGGGCGAATCGAGATGCAGGAGAATCGAGCCTAAGAGGAAGGGAAGGAGGAGGAGGAGGAGGAGGAGGAGGAGGAGGAATGGACAGGATGAGGAAGAGTCGAGGCTCATAAGGAGGAGGATGAGTAGAGGGGTAGGAGGAGGAGGAAGGGAGTATGAGAGGAGAGGAGGAGGAGGAGGAGGAGGAAGCCTCGTGCACTCTGCAAGGGAGGAGCAGGAGAAGGCGTCGGCGCCGCAGCAGCGCCGCGGAGGAGGCGCCCTTCGGAGAAGGAGGAGGACGAGAACGAGGACGAGGAGGACGAGAAAGACGAGGAGGACAAGGAGGAGGAGGAGGAGGAGGAGGAGGAGGAGAAGGAGGAAGAGGAGGACGACTTGGAGTAGTCAGCTCATCCTGAACCACCCGCGAGAGGCCGGCGCGCGCGGAAGCACCGAGCACGATGCCCCAAACGAAGATCGCGACGACGAAGACGACGACGACGACGACGACGACGACGACGACGGACGACGACGACGACGCGACGACGACGACGACGCGAGACGACGCGAGGAGGCCCCGCCGGCGCGCTGGTGGCCCGCGCGCCGCCGGCGGGCGGCGCCGCGCCCGCCGAGGGACGGCCGCCGCGCCGCCGGCCGCCGGGCGCCGAGGCCCGCCCGCCCTGCCGCCGCCGGCTGCGGGCCGCCGCGCCGGCCGCGGCTGGCCGCCGCCGGCCGCCGTGGGCCGCCGGCGGCCGGCCGCCGCCGGCCGCAGAGATCGGGCCGAACACGCCGCTTGACGGGCGCAGACGGCCGCCGCTCGCGGTGCCCTCGCCGCCCCGCCCTCGGCGGCGAGGGCGGCGGCGGCGGGCGGGAAGGGCCCAGGCGTGCTCGGGCGAGGGCGGCGGCGGCGAGCGGGCAGGGCCCAGACATGCTCGCGTCGTGCAGAGGTCGGGACGGAAAGTTTCGGGCCGGACGAAAGGCGGGGGGTATAGAGAAAGGGGGAGTTACGAAATTTGCTGCATGCAGCTGGTTTCGGCCCCGTCGCCAGGCCTATTCCTCGATACGTGGGCGCCTCCCAGCGCCGGGAGGCGCCGGGAAAATCAGCTACGTGAGCTGATTCTCAAACCCCCTTTTGCGATCCCCCCCCACTTCGCCCGGCCCGAAAGTCGTGTTCGTCGTGTTTGGCCTCTGGGGGCCCGCACCAGGCCCCCGGGGCCGTCAAGAAGCAGCTCAGGACGGAAAGCGGACCCTAGGTACAGGGTCGGGTCTCTTGTCGGGGACGGCCAAGAGTCTAGAGGGGGGTGATAATTCTTTACGCTTCGCGTGTCCCCACCAGCCCATCTCACAGCAGCAACTCTCGCGAAGCATGCCGACAGTCGTGCTTTTCAGGCGTGTGTCCGCTTGGCCCCGCATATCTCCCCTGTTCCTCCTTCTTCCCGCCTCCTTGTACATCCTCCTTGTGGGGGGAGCGGGAGAAGGACGAGGCGGAGGTGGAGGGAGAGAAAGCGCTCCTCGTGGTTTGAGTCGTTTGGGGATTCTCGTCCTGGTGTGAGTCGTTCGGGCCCTTTTTCCTGGTGTGACTCGTTCGGGCTCCTCGTGGTGTGAGTCGTTCGGGCTCTTCGTCGTGGTGTGAGTCGTTCGGGCCCCTCCTTATGGTGTGAGTCGTTCGGGCTCTTCGTGGTGCGAGTCGTTCGGGCCCCTCGTCCTGGTGTGAGTCGTTCGGGCTCCTCGTGGGGCCTCGTGGGGGCCTCTTGGAGGCTCTTGGGGCCTCTTCGGGGCCTCTTGGGGGCCTCTTGGGGGCCTCTTGGGGGCCTCTTGGGGCGTCTTGGGGCCAGCTTGGGGGCCTCTTGGGGGCCTCTTGGGGGCCTCTTGGGGCCTCTTGGGGGCCTCTTTGGGGCCCCTTGGAGGCCTCTTGGGAGCCTCCTGGGGGCCTCTTGGGGCCAGCTTGGGGCCTCTTGCGACCTCCTCAGAAGCGTAAATGACCGCTGCCCCCTGAGAAGGACAAAATGAGCCTAAAACCTTCGTAAAATCAATGATTTTGCTATGAAGGAAGAGGAGCGCGGCCCCCTCAGGAGGCCAAAATGGGGCCAAAACCATAGTAAAATCTATGTTTTTTGCTTCCAAGACGGTCTGAGGCGCCAAACGGTCCCCCCCCCCTGGGGACCAGAATCCTCGTGAGGGTCGTCGTTTTTTGGCCCTCCCAGGAGTCGAAAAAGACCCCCTTGATTGCACTCGGCCCGCCCTCTCCAGGCCCAGGGGGAGGGGGTAGGGGGAGGGGTAAACCCCTCCCCGAAGGGGAAGTATGGGGTTAGGGGGTTGAGAACAGAGAGAGCTCTCTAAACCACTCACGCCCAAAGGGCTGGTGGGACTAAGGGGGGGTGGATATCATGGCGGGGGCCATGATATCTCCACAGCTTTCATGGCGCCTCTTCTTGTTTCAATACGACCCTCCCCCCCCCCCCCCCCCCTGGGCCGCGCACATGCCGCCGGCCATGATTTGCACACACCCCTCTTGGACGCCCCCCTCTTTGCCGCCCCCGATCTTGGGGGGCCGCTCATGGAAAAAGATCGGGACGTCGTATGTCTGGGAGAGGCTCGGGCGTGCGGCCGCGGCTGGCTGTGGCGGCTGCTTGAAGTCCGATGGTGCACGCGCCGCTTCCGCGAACGCTCCCTGGGGCCTCCCGCTGGGGTGAAGCAGTGGCGAAGCGTCCCGGCTCGCCTATAGCCCCACTAAACAATGTTCTAAGAACCTTTTGTGGTTCCCACGAAATGTTCTTAGAACATGTCTGGCTAGGACCGTATTGTTTTACCACATCGGATTTATGTTCTAAGAACATGGTTTGTGTTCTTAGAACATTTTTGGGTTCTAAGAAAATTTTGTGGTAGGCTTATAGGAATGCCGGGACGGTCGGTCCCTGCTCGAGCTGGGGTGAAGTTCGGG